GAGGCCCTCGTTCAATGAAATAAGGGAAAGAAGTGTATACCTAAGGGCTCGTTTTTCCGTGTTTTAACACAATATAATGAGATATAACAGAGAGTAATGCCAAGGAATGTACAGGGGAAGTTATTAAAACCAATGGAATGTAAATAAGAAGAAAGAAAAGTGGATGAAAAAATTACCAACTGTGAGCAGGAATCTAACCTACGACCTTCGAATATATATATACATATATATTTATATATATATATATATATATATATATATATATATATATATATATATATAGCGCCACGGGAGCGGCCGCATCAGCAGCACGTGTAAGTGAGCTCTGCACATATCTGCCTATAACTTTAGCAATTTGGTTCTAGGAGGGTCAGAGTGGTGTCTTTTGTTCGTGAAGATGCAAGGAGTTCAACCGCTACAAATACTGCTATTACAAACGAAAATTTTAAATTTTAGGAGCGGAAAACAGTGTGAATCTGTGAAAACAACAACAGTCAGACCACGTGTTTTTTACGATCGCTTGTAGCTTCGTTAATATTCTACCGGGAAACTTCTTACTTATAAAGTTGAAAGTCCTTAGGGTAGACCTGACGCTACTGAAGTTTCATCAGGCTAGGTTTAATAGTTCCAGAGTTATTCCGTACTCAAAATTAAGCCTAATCACTAAAAAGAATAAATTGGTAATATCATCTCGCAAACGCATTTAAATGTTGTCTGCTTAATATAATAATAAACCGCACCCCATAGGCTACCAGGAGGCCCAATTCCATACACTCTAGGCCCTTAATTAAGGTGGTAATCAGCAAAAAGCTCATTTCATTAAAACAAATTTTCAAAAGGAGCTACAAACTCCACCAAAAAATAGCTAATATCTTCTTTTAGAACACAACAGTCCGGTTTTTTCCGTGTAAAAATAATTTTGATAGTTTAAGGTAACCGGAAGATACAGAGTTAGAAAGAATATAACGAAAACCGCTAATAAACGTGTGGCGCCCGCGTCTTCTCTGGCTCAGAGGAGGAGGGTGGCTCACTGCTCGGGAGAAAGGTACGCCCGTCAGATCAAAGTCTTGAACCGCGTGTTTTTTCCACTCTTACGATGGCTTTTAACTTTGCTAATAACCTACCGAGAAACTTCTAACTCATTCAGTGCAAAGCCCTAATTGTAGACCTGTCGCCGCTCAGGTTTCATCAGGACAGGAGTAATAGTACCAGAACTATTTCGTGACCAAAATTAATCCTAATCACTAAAAAGATTAATTTGGTAACATCACCTCACAAACGAATTTAAATTTTGTCCGCTTTATATATCAATAAACAGCACCCCATAGGCTAATCGGAGGCCGAACTCCGTACTCTCTAGACCCTTAATTAAGGCGGTAATCAGAAGAAATCTCATTTCAATAAAACATTTTTTATAAAAATAACCACAAACTTGACTGATACACCGCTGAAACCTACATTTAGAACATAACAATCCGGGTGCGGCGATGGCGTAGTGGTTAGAGCATCCGCCTCGCATGCAAGAGGTCCGTGGTTCAAATCCCGGTGCCGCGCAGTTCTTAACCGAATAAAAAAATCCGCGTGTTGATGGAACTGCATTAAGAGGCCTGGGGTGCGGCCTCACCGGTAACCACCGCCGGGAACGCACTCCCTCACCATAGAAGGATTGGCCACCCTCGTGCAGTATCTGGCCCCTACCTCCCACATGCATACGTCAAATAACTCACGGCCCTCAGTTCCCAGCAGCTGCGAAGCAACTGACCATGGCGGCGGTCAGATCTGCAACGCAGCAGAAGGTGCTAAGAATCTCTGGACTACAGGCGGCCTTTGGAACCTGAACTTGGCACCGTTTAGTGCTAGAACCTTATCTAGTGAGGGAAGTCTAGCTGTACTATTCGAGGAGCTAGAGGGTGTTAAGTGGGATATAATATGGCTCAGTGACGTTAGGAGGACAGATGAGGCCTATACTGTGCTACAGAATGGGCACGTCATTTGCTATCGGGGCTTGGCAGACGGAATAGAACTGGGAGTAGGGTTCCTAATTCACAGAAACATAGCTGGCAACATAGAGGAGCACTATAGCAGTAATGAAAGGGTGGTAGGTATTGTAATTAAACTGAATAAAAGATACAAGATGAAGGTAGTACAGGCTTACGCGCATACATCCAGCCATGATGACGCTTGAGTTGAAAGCTTCTATGAAGACGTGGAATCGGCAATGAGTAAGATAAAAACAGAGTATACTATAGTGATGGGCGACTTTAATGCAAAGGTAGGGAAGAAGCAGCCTGGAGACCAGGCAGTAGGAGATTATGGCATCGGCACTAGAAACGCCAGAGGAGAGCTACTAGTAGAATTCGCAGAACGCAATAATTTGCGGATTTTGAATACTTTCTACCGAAAACGAGAAAACCGCAAATGGACATGGAGGAGCCCTAATGGCGAAAATAAAAACGAAATAGACTTTATAATGACTGCACACCCAGGAATCGTGCAGGTTGTGAAAGTGGTTGGCAAGGTACGATGCAGTGACCATAGAATGGTACGGTCCCGAATTAGCCTAGACTTGAAAAAGGAACGACAGAAACTGATACGCAAAAAGCCAATCAATGAGCTATCACTGAGAGGGAAAGTACAGGAATTCAGAGTGTCGCTACAGAACAGGTACTCGGCTCTTAGTGAGGAAACCATCCTTAGCGTAGATACAATGAATGATAATCTAACGAGTATCATTACGGAGTGTGCAGTGGAAGTTGGAGGCAGGGTAGTTAGACAGGACACTGGCAAGTTTTCCCAGGAAAGGAAGAGCCTAATTAAGAAGCGTCAAAGCATGAAAGTGTCAAGTACAACAGACAAAATAGAACTGGCAGAGCTTTCAAAGTTGATTAATAGGCGTAAAGTATGCGATGTAAGAAGGTATAACATGGAGAGAATTGAACACGCTCTGAAAAACGGAGGAAGCGTCAAAGTAGTGAAGAGGAAACTTGGGATAGGCAAAAGTCGGAGGTATGCACTAAGGGACAAAGAAGGCAAAATAACTACCAATATGGATAGGATAGTTAAAATAGCGGAGGAGTTTTACAGAGATCTGTACAGTAGCCGAGACAACCACGACCTTAATACTATAAGAACTAGCAGTAACCCAGATGACACCCCACCAGTAATGATAGAAGTCATAAAAGCTTTGGAGAGCATGCAAAGAGGCAAAGCTGCTGGTGAGGATCAGGTAACATCAGATCTGCTAAAAGATGGAGGACAGATTGTGTTAGAAAAACTAGCCACCCTGTTTACGAGGTGTCTTCTGACGGGAAGGGTACCAGAGTCTTGGAAGAACGCTAACATCATCTTAATACATAAGAAAAGAGATGACAAGGACTTGAAGGGTTACAGGCCGATCAGCTTGCTCTCTGTAGTATACAAGCTATTTAGTAAGGTAATTGCTAACAGAGTAAAGAAAACATTAGAATTCAATCAACCAAAGGAACAAGCAGGATTTCGAACAGGCTACTCAACAATTGACCACATTCATAATATCAATGAGATAATAGAGAAATGCTCGGAGTATAACCAACCACTATACATAGCCTTCATAGATTACGAGAAGGCGTTTGATTCAGTAGAAAAATCAGCCGTCATGCAGACACTGCGGAATCAGGGCGTTGATGAAGTATATATAAACATTCTGGAAGAAATCTACAGGAGACCAACTGCTACCATAGTGCTTCATAAAGAAAGCAACAGAATACCAATCAAGAAGGGTGTAGGGCAGGGGGACACAATCTCCCCAATGCTATTTACCGCGTGCTTACAGGAGGTTTTCAGAAACCTAGAATGGGAACAGTTAGGGATATGAGTTAATGGAGAATACCTTAATAACCTGCGCTTCGCCGATAACTTTGCATTGCTGAGTAACTCAGGGGACGAATTGCAACTCATGATTACGGAGTTAGACAAGGAGAGCAGAAAGGTGGGTCTTGAAATGAATCTGCAGAAAACGAAAGTAATGTACAACAACCTCGCAAAAGAGCAGAGGTTCGAGATAGGTGGTAGTGCGCTTCAAGTTGTAAAAGACTATGTCTACTTAGGGCAGGTAATAATCGCAGAGCCTAACCGCGAGACTGAAGTAACTAGAAGAATAAGAATGGGGTGGAGTACATTCGGCAAGCACCATCAAACTATGACAGGTAGATTGCCACTATCCCTCAAAAGGAAGGTATAGAACAGCTGTATCTTGCCGGTACTTAGCTACGGAGCAGAAACCTGGAGACTTACAAAGAGGGTTCAGCTTAAATTGAGGACGACGCAGCGAGCAATGGAAAGAAAAATGGTAGGTGTAACCTTAAGAGACAAGAAGAGAGCAGAGTGGATTAGGGGACAAACGGGGGTTAAGGATATCATAGTTGAAATAAAGAAGAGGAAATGGACATGGGCCGGGCATGTAGCGCGTAGACAGGATAACCGCTGGTCATTAAGGGTAACTACCTGGATTTCCAGAGAAGGGAAGCGGGTTAGGGGGAGACAGAAGGTTAGGTGGGCAGACGAGATTAAGAAGTTTGCGGGTATAAATTGGCAGCAGCAAGCACAGGACCGGGTTAACTGGCGGAACATGGGAGAGGCCTTTGTCTTGCAGTGGACGTAGTCAGGCTGATGATGATGATAATAATGATGATGATGATGATGTTTATCATGTGTCTTTGTCGTCTTCATCGGTTGCGAAAACTCGGCTTGCTGGTGATCTGTGTCTTGAGTGTGGTGCCTTGTTTGGGCCTTCCGGGCCTAATAAAAGTCGCTTTAAGCGTGATATACAGTAATAATATTATTAGTAGTATGTTTAGTAGTGGTAGTAGTAGTAGTATTAGCATTTGTAGAAGTAGTAGTAGAAGTAGTAGTAGTAGAAATAGTAAGAGTATTGCGTATGTAGCGGAAAGGTGTCTTGTAACCAAACTCTTCGTTGCTTAAACGTGTGTCTAATGAAATGTTTTTGCCACAACGGCTCATAGAGGTGGTACAGAAGCATCTGAACAAGCTGTTTGTGGAAGAGTTAGACAAAGATGGTGACCAGTACGTCAACGCGGCCGAGCTGAAGGAGTACCTGAAGAAGTTTCACAGCCGCCTCATCCTGGACAGCATCGACAAGCAGTGGGTCTACTTCGACAAGGAGATGCAGGAGAAGGCGCCCGGCGTCAAGGTGCTCAAGTGGGAAACGTACAGGAAACTCTCCTTCCCCGACAGAGGTGCGTGCATTCTCGAGCCTGCTTGGCTCTTCTATGTTTGCCTATGCATATACGAAGGGGCGATTTCAAGGGCTTTTCCTTCTTTCTTAGACGCAAAATTAATTACAACAGTCAGTGCTGCCGAGAAAAAATATAGGAGATGTTATTATTGTTGCGATAGAAATTATGCTGACAGTATCGTCTGGTTTTTGCCGTTGTCGTCACCGCTTCCGCCATCATTCACGTACATGTATATATATGTATATATATGCCGGAAAGAATGCGCTAGCCTCCTCCTTCTGCGGAGCGAACATCAGCTTTCCAGCCAGGGACGCCTGCAGGCACGCTTATCTCGTGAGCGAATCAGGGAGGGGAGGAGGGTGCGCTTATAATGGCCGCGCAGCGATCAGTGCGCGGATTGTGCCCCCACAGCTGGCAGGAACTTCTACAGGCTACGCTAACGAAAAGACGTTCCCAAAAAGTACCGGTAGTGGCCGTGTTCTCTTACACTAGAGTTTTGTAGGGTTACGTGAGATCGGATCTAAATGAGTTGACTGCCAGCGTCACTTCACATAACACTCCGATTTGTCGCTATGACCTCACCGCCGGAAACTTGATTACTTAACAACAGCATGTTTACTACAAATAATATTGCTTCTAAGAACCCTAGCGATGCTTCGTAAAACAATCGCATATGCTGCTATCACATTCATTGCTTTGCCCTTTCGTTGAGGCTGCCACTTTTTGTTAGTGCATTGCAAACGTGAAAAAAGAAAAGTGGACAAAAAAAAACGCCGCTGGTAGCTAGCCAACATATGACCTTGGAATAACGCGTGCTTGTTTGCTAAGTTTTGCCACCATGCTGTGATCACTGTTGTAGTAATTGCACTACGGATATATTAGGGAGCTTTAGAATAGCGCACCGCGAGCCTTCGCGGTGCGCTATTCTAAAGCTTTGCAGTGGCAGCGCGAGCCTTCGCGCTGCCACTGCAAAGGCGTCGTAACGAGAGTCGGCGGCGTTCGCGTTCGCGGACCGCACGCAAAAAATCCGAAATTGCATGCGGTAATGGCGGCCCGCAAGCGCTGGTTTCGAGGCTACGGGTGGTGATGGCGGCCCGTATGTGGCACGCAGGCGCTGGTTTCGAGGCTACGGTGTCGTTGCGATCGTGCGTTGCGGATCGCAGAAGGCAAACGGTATTCTAAAACTCATATGGCGCCCGCTACACCCGCAGCGCTTGCAAACAGTATTCTGAAACTCCCTATTTACAATTTAGAGAGAGAAAAAACATGTATTGAATGAAGCTTGTGAGTGAAGGTGGGAGGGTCCCTTATTCCAGAAACCCTCTGGCTTGGACAGCCCACCAAGCTCGAGCAACCAGTTGACGCTTCTCGACCAGGTCCGGCTGGGAGATCACAGTCTCCCAAGCTTCACTGAGGAGGTCTTGGCGCGCATCTGATGCTGCTTGTAGTCTTGGGACGCTTCCTTTGCACTGCAGTACGAGGTGCGCCAGAGTGTCTGCTACATTGCAGTGAGGACAGATGTAGCTGTGCAACGTTGGCCTTATATGGTGCAATAGTACGCCGTGGGTGAACGTGTTGCTTTGAAGACACCTGTGGTCAGTGCCTTCGTCTCTTGTGAGTTTTGGATGTGGCGGAGGGTATGACATGCGTTCGAGCCGATAATGTGGCAGCAATGCATGATACGTAGTGGTATGGGTTGTCTTGCCTCTGATTCTGATGTAGAGTGGGAGGTGGCTCGGATCTCTTATGGGAATGCCCAGTTGACGCATTCACGGGCTGCGGTGTGTGCCGCTTTATTTTCCTTGAGACTTCATGACCCGGACTCCACAAGATGCATGTGTAGGGAGGAGGATTGTCCGTGTACTTTAGTAGCATATTTGCCACCATGGAGACTCTGCCTTTCAGGTAGTTCAGTGCCACTGTTTGTGAGTCAGTAAAGACCACGATGGTATCCTCACTCGTATGAGTGGCGAGTGCTATTGCACCATCTTCAGCTGTTTCCGCACGTTTGGCGAGGATAGTCGCCGATGCTAGTACCACACCCGTGTAATCTGTGACGGTAATCGCGAAGGCGTTACGTGCCGGATATTTGGCTGCGTCCACGTATCGTGCCCGGGGGTCATTGCCATGGTTTTTCCGGATCATGTTAACCCTGGCGAGCCGCCTTGCTCGGTAATGTTGAGGATGCATGTTCCGAGGGATCTGCTGAATTTCAATGCATTCTCGGAGCTGTGACAGTATTTTGCTTTTGCGTTCTTAGTTGGGCTCTAGGCTGGTCTCGTATCCTGTGTGTCGAAGAACGGCTTGCCCTGTGAGTGACAGCTTGAGTCTCTCGACCTGGTTGATGAGGTGTGCTTCCGTGAGCTCTTCCCATGTATTGTGAACTCCCATGCAAAGCAGTCGGTCAGCGGAGGTGGCTGGCGGCTGCCCTACGGCAAGCTTTGTAGCCTTTCGTATCAGCAGATCAGGTTTTTGTTTCCTCGTTGTCTTAAGGTTGAGGTAGGGAGTTCCGTACGTTATGCAGCTGTAAAGGAGAGCTTGTACCATTTTTAGGGTGTCGTGCTCTTTGAAGCCAATGTGGCGGTTGGCCACCCTTCGAATTATGTGAGTGAGCTGTCACAGTGTTCTGCAGCCGGGGTAGGGCAGCCTAACCAGACCCATCTTTATGTATACGTAGTTCTAGAACTCGAAGCTGGTGAACTTGTGGTATTTGGACTCACTGTAGAAACACTCTTGGGTCAGGAGCGTCGTACGTTGGTTGTCTACCCCGGGTGCGTGCCGCAAGTACTAACAGTTCCGACTTTTCCGGAGCAGATCGGAGGCCGCAGATCTTGAGATATTCTTCAGTGATATTAACCGCCTCTTGATGTCGGTCCTCATGTTCACCTGTGCTTACACGTTTTGTCCACATAGTGATATCATCGGTGTATAACGAGTGATGTATCCCAGGATCAGCATCCAAGAGACGTGGGAGCTTAAGGAGGGCCTAGTTGAAAAGCAGTGGTGATAACACTGAGCTATGGCGTGCCTTTGTTAGGGAGTTGAAAAAGCTCGCTCCGGATATTGGCAATCCCTACAGTGGCTGTGCGGTTGGTGAGAAAAGCCAGCATGTAGGCGTATGTTTTGGCTCCGCAGCCAACGTCTTCCAGGCTACGCAGAATGGCTTCGTGGCTCACATTGTCGAATGCGCCCTTTACGTCCAGAGCTAGAACATATGACTTACTCTGCTTGCTCAAGCAAAGAAGAATATCTTCCTTTATCTGCAAGAGGACGTCTTCTGTGCTGAGCATTGGGCGGAAGCCGAACTTGGTGTTCTGGTAGTGACCATTGTCTTGGGGTGCATCGTGAGCCGCTCGTTTACCATGTGCTCAAAGAGTTTCCCAGCGCAAGATATAAGGGAAAAGGGATGAAGATTCACAATCGAGATTGGCTTGTTTGGCTTGGGTACCATGGTCACCTCCGAGTGCTTCCAGGCTTGTGGTAGCTCGCCTTTCTCCAGCAGTCATTATTTTTTTATTTTTTTATTTATTACATACTGCAGTCCTATAAGGACCAAGCAGGAGGGCAGATGGGAAAGTTACATGTATCGCATGATAGCGGTGAATACATATCAATAACCATGCTTTGGTCATACACACGTGCAGTATAGATATAAAAACAAATACACCGATACATACATTTATACACACATTTTCAGGTAAAGAAGAAACGTTGCACAGTGCAAAACTCATTGTAATCTAGAAAGTTGCAACTATCACACTGTCTCTAGGTCAAGCAAAACAAAACCATTATACAGTAGAGCTCGTATTATGCAGTAGAGCTCGTAAAAGACAAATACGCACTTTTCCCAACAAACAATGAAAACCCACAACTAAAACATCCTCAACCGTTCGAGAGCTACACAAAAACTAGAAAAGCACCAGCAATTGGTCAGCAAACCTCTGAAACAAAGATGATAATTATTCTAGGGCAGCAAGCACCATCGCAGAAAAAAGCGGCCGCTGTTCGCGCAGAGAAAACCGAACTTGGTAATGCATTCCAATCCGCAATTGTCCGCGGGAAGAAAGAGTATTTGAATATATTTGTGCGGGCCTTGTAAGGAAGAAGATTGTGTGAGTGGCGATGTCTCGATGCTCGAGGTAAAAACAGCTTGACATAAGGGTTTGCGTTAAGCTTCAGGTGGCCATGAAAAAGCGAAAACAAAAATTTTAGGCGGGCTAGTTTACGTCGCATCTCTAAGGTTGAAATTCCATTTTGCACCATCAACGAAGATGGGGAATCAGTGGATCTGTACTTGTTGAAAATAAAACCCACTGCCCGGCGCTGCACCATTTCTAGCTTTTGCTTGTCTTTCTTAGAAAAGGGGTCCCAAACAATGTTGGCGTATTCAAGCTTAGGTAACAGTAAGGTCTTATAAGCCAACAGTTTTGCTTCTGTAGGGGCAGCTTTAAGTTTGTGCCTTATGAACCCAAGCCTGCGCAGGTATTTTCAATGTGCTTAGACCACGATAACGTATTGGTAATTGTCACCCCTAGATATTTGCATTCTGAGTTTTCTTTAACAGTCACTCCATCGATACAGTAAGAAAACCTAAGCGGCTCTCTTTTATTTGTGATTCGCAGTAGAACAGTCTTGTCTGAGTTTAACTTCATGGACCACGACGTGCACCATTGGACAACACGTGTCAAGCTGTCATTTAAGAATATTTGATCCTCTGTACATGTAATTTTTCAAAAAATTATGCAATCTTCTGCAAATAATCGTATTTGAACATCAGACGAGACAATTGAAGTTATATCATTTACATAAATTAAAAAGAGAATTGGGCCCAAGACGCTTCCCTGTGGAACACCCGATAAGACAGGTAATGCGCCTGACGAGCACCCAGAGATCTCCACATATTGAGTCCTGTTGGAGAGGTAAGATTTAATCCAATTAACAAGAAAATCGAGTATACCAATGTTTAGCAGTTTGCCTATAAACTTACCATGAGGAACACG